GTGAGCATCCTAATCAAGAAATATATTCATATTCCAATTTAAAGAAAGTGTGAGTCTTGGTATGTATCCAGCTAATACCTGAAGGAAGAACTGCTTAGCATTATTAGAATGGTTACACAGACTTTTTACCGAGAAGGTGTGGAAAAGCCATTACCTCCGTTTCTTTCTAGTCGCCCAGTGTCTTGTACAGACTCGATCACTGAGGTGTTGCTCTCAGGCTACAAAGGGTTTCTCAGCCACAGCACTGCTGATGTTTTGGGGCAGCCCTGTCTGCTGCTGAATGTTCAGCAGCATCTCTGGCCTTTACCCACCAGATGTCAGGAGCAATCCCCCACCCCCAAGACATTGCCAGATGTTCCCTGGTGGCAAAGTCACCCCTAGCTGAGAACTGTTGCAGAATTAGGGCTCCTAGTAGCCTTTGGCACATGCTAGAGAGTTGCGGGGGGGGTGATGACTGAAGCCACTGCCACCTCACCTGCCTCTTCTGTTATCTTAGGGTAAGCGCCGTGAGATCCACGTACCTCAGCAAGAGAAGTTTCCTGCCGAAGTACAGATAACTGGATACCATAATGGTCGGATGAGTGAGATTTTATTTAGTGTCCTTTCAGCCAGTTTGGGAGCATATGCAGGAAACCTGGAAACCAGCCTGTCCTGCTAAGGCCGTTCTGTACCTGCTGGGCGAGTCCTTTCTCCCGGCTCACTCCAGTATTCATACCCCCACCCCACCCCAAGCAGTTTTATATTTGTGGAGGGTGGAGTTTCAGGTGCTTACTGTCTTTTGTTGTGTATGAACATTTATAATCATACTTTAAAGACATAATTTAGGGGATGCAGAAAGATCAAGAAGTCCAATCTCCACCTAGGTGGACACTGGGCCATCTCCACTTGAGCCCTAAGAAGTGCGGTGGGGCAGGGGCTCCTGGGATCTTCACCCCTAGTGCCCAGTTGCCTCTAGAGTGTTAGCCTAGTCACCACGGCCCCATCGTAAGCCTTCAAAGGGCAGGGTGTCCATCTATGATCCTCCAAAAAAAACTGGCTCTTTTCCCTGCTCCTAGTGGCCTCCATTGCCTGTCCTGTGTCTGCCTCTCCACCATGTTCTGTCTTTGCTCTGTTTCACATTTGGTTTCTCGAACACTCCAAACCTACTTTCTTCTCATATTTGGTGTTCCTTTACTGCACTGGGGGCTTTCTCCTCATGCCAGTCTTAACTCAAGTATCACTTCTGTAGGGCCTGAGGTACAAACTACCTCATCTCTCTTTCCCCCAGCGCTGTGACATTTGATTTTTAACTTGTCCTTAACTAATCTCGGAGGTGGTTTTCTGATCATTGCCCTCATGAGAGAGCAGGAACTTGTGTGATGTCCTAGCACCTGCGGAGCTGCCCTAACATGGATGCTCCGAAAGTGGAGAATGATAATTCCTAAAGCCTAGACACGCAAGCAAGGACATCTAGTAATTTCCATCCAGCCATCTATGAAGTTGGTTGCAGAATTTTGCATAAAAACATTTTGGAGAGAGTCCAGGGGCTTTCATCGGGTCTGAAAGGGTCCTCTGACCTCACACACTGGTTAGGAACTTCTGTTTTAGAATAAGTTTCCTGAGAGGACCCATGATTAAGGAATGTTCTTATATTTGCAATAATGACCTTACTAAAGGTCATTTGTAGTATGTTAAGTACTAAACAAAAACTGATGGGGAAGGAAGGGGAGCTTGTTCTAGACACTTAGTATCCCCGAGTCCCTCTCGATGTCAGCTAAGTTACATTTTGAAAAATCAGGTATGTGCCTCTGACTTGAGCAGACATATCTGCCTACAGTGGGGGTCAGGGGTGGGTGGGTATAATTGCTTGTCCTCTTCTGAAGGAAGAAAAAGAAAGTAGCAAGTCAGTATTTTCCATGATGTCCTAAGGCAGCCAGCCTCCAAGATGGCCCCCAGGGATCCTCACCTCCGGAAATTCATGCCCTTGCGCAGTCTCAGCCCACACCAACTCGGAGCTGGCCTGCATGACCAACATGGTGGAATGATGTGTGACTTCCAAGCTCCATAAAAGACATTATAGCTTCTGCCTTCATGTCTTTGGATCCCTGGCTACGAGGGAAGTCACAGCCATGTCATGAAGTCTTTTAGGCAACCTGTGAAGAGTTCCGAAGGCTTCTAGCCAACAGCTAGCATTAACTGCCAGCCATGGCAGTGAGCCTGTCTCATCTGTACTCACAGGATCTTAATTTGTAGGTGACTACAAATTGAAGGAGAGGAGAGGTCGATGCCATCGGAAGAATTTACTACTTCTATTTCCCAAGAGAAGGGGGCATGCCACACCACACAGGGCCACAGGGGAAGCACCCAGGATTTGGTCAGGTGGTAGAAGCCAGAGCAAGGGGAAAGCTTAGGCCACAGTCTTTACGGGGGTTTCTGTGGCAAAGGCAAGGCAGGGCAGGGTAAAACAGCTTAGGATTCACTAGTCTGAACAATTCCAGTGGGCTCTGGGCTATAAGAGTGGTTTCGAGTTGCCTAGTGATTTAGGGCAGGGACAATGTTGGTAAGGTCTCTGGCTTGCATGAGAGGCATGCTGGCAAATACACTGTTAACTGTGTTCAGGAACTAGCTAGCTTTGAGAGGGGCAGTCTTTCCCCAGGCCTATAAGCACCCCCCGTCCCAGATGTCAAAACAAGATACAGAAAATTAAAAACAAGATCAATCAGCCTTCTTGTAAGTGGATCCTCCAGCCTCGGGCAAGCTTTCAGAGGACTGCAGGCCTGACCAACATCTTGAATGCAACCTCATGATTGACTTCAAGCCAGCCTATCCGCTCCCCAGTTCCTTACACACTGAAATGGTGAGAAACAGTAAGTGTCCTTTGTTTTTAAGCCAAGTTTTGGGCTGATTTGTTACATAGCAACAGACAACTAAGGTTGTGGGGGCTGTCTGGTCAACACAGCAATAAATAGGGCCACGTCAAAACTGTAGGGTCATGCAGAACACCGGAGACACTGGCAGGGCCCACAAGGGAAATGTCCCCAGCTACTTCGGAGTGGCCAGAAGTAAATCCCACGTGGGACTGGTTTTCATAGGTGATGCAGTCAGTTACAATAAGGATTATCGCACATTCAGGGACAGTTTGGGCTCAAACTAGAAAGCTGGATAGTCGTCTAGCTGAGTATATCAGGTGCGTGTTTTCCCCCCTATACGGATTTGAGGCTGGAATTTCTGGATGACGGGGAGGGAGAGAAAGAGGATGACTAATCTCTCCCCTGAGTTCGTGGTCCTGCCTTGCTTTTCTTCTAATATTTTAATAAGACATTAAAACAAGACATACGAGATGTTCCCTCTGCATCTGGCCCGGGGATATAAACACATACGCGCATACGTCTGCTTGCTGTAGCAATTCGTGCTCCCCGAATTCGTGCTCCCCGGCGGCTGCTCACCACCTGCCCAGGCTGCCGGCCACTCGGGGAGGATGCGCTGACCTCACCCTTATCATTCTTATTATAAATATGAGGAAACTGTGGCTCGAAAATGCCAGGTAAATTGCCCACGCTCACTTGTATGTATGTGAGGGAGCCAAGATGCACATTTACTAAATCTGACTTAGGAGCTTACAAAGCCCAACCAAATTACGCTTTGGTTATGTTTCTTCTCTCCTGGAGGATCAACAGCAGACAAGGCAAGGTCATTAATTCAGAGAGAGAGATCATACCACTGCTGTGTATCACAGACCTCGGATGGTTATTTTTCTAACATCACACTACCTTGAGCTCTTTCATTCTCAACACTTTGTAAATAGAACTGAGGGAAAGGAGCCTGGACTTGGGTAAGCTCCCCTTAGGAGTGCGTAGAAAAGCCTGGAACTCACTCTAGGGCTCCTCATCACTAGCCAGGAAATCCAGCGTTTAAAACAAAGGCCCAGCAATGATACTCATTCTTACTCTCCTACTCGTGACTAGCCTGATTCGAATCTTTGTAGTATTAGTAACGTCCCCTAGAACCTAGGGTTTCCAAGCATGCTGCATTTAAGAGGGATGGTCTAATTTCTGAATAAGAATGACACTATATTAAATGACTTCACATTATCTTGCTGTGTCCTCAAAAGCATCTCTTCTAACTGGGGAATTAACTTCCCTCTCCCCCAGATAAAGAAAGCCAAACAAGAACATAACATCTGCTTTCCAAGTAAAAACAAAACAAAAAACCTTATAATACTCAAAGAACAAAGAATCTAAAACCAAAAATCTCTTTACAAGAGTAATTTGACCCTTTCTATGTCTCATGAGATGCCCATTCTGGTCCTGAAAGACACAGGACCTACAAACTCTGAATCTCAAGCCATCCTTGGAAGATGCAAACCCTTCCAGATGCTTTCCTTCCTTCTCTCAGGCTAATTCTTCAAAAGCAGCAGAGCAGAAAGAGCAGGAAAGGGACAGGGAGGATAGAAGAGGAATGGCGTGGGGGGGGGAAAGGGGACACAAAGAGAAAGACACCCTACCCTGCTCCTCCTCCCTCTTTCCTAATACCTCTCCTCATCTTCCTACAGCTCCCCTGAAAAGTAGGAGGAATAACTCATTTCACTTACGCTGGAACTGAAATTCTCAGGGCAACAGAAAATGTACATATCTTCATATACCTGAATGTCACATTAAGATGAACGCAGCATGAAGGGGGCTATTTACTGATGAAGCAAATGGTACCAGGATTAGAAATGTTAAATACTTATTGCTCTGGAAATCTGAACTTTAGATCTATATTAAGACGCAATGAAAGGGAAAACAGGTGGGAGGCCAGAGGATGGGTGACTAACTATTACTAGGGCTTGTCATTCCTGAAGTATGTCCACCTGTCCTTAACTGTCACATTCTCCCCCGCCTTCGCTGATACTTGTTTCCATTATGATGAGGATATGTTCCTAATGGGAGAGAAAATTAAGCTAATAGCCAATGGCAAGTGATCTTCGGATGTGAGGCAGACACGTCTTTCTTCGTCACACTAAAGAACAGTATACAGTACAAAGTTAGGGCTCTTTATTCAGACAGTAAAGCACAGCAAAGTGGGAGGGCTATGCTGTCTCCACGGCAACAGAACATCTCATAAATGTAAAGTCCTTGGCTTCTATCAGGCAGACTCTTCCTGGCTCAGGAGAAACCTGTTTTAACTTGATGAGAATAAAACCAGGCAGCCTGGCTAGAGTGCAGAAGCGGGGGCTGGCCGGCTGGTCAGTTCTGGAAGTGCTTAGTGAGTGTGTCCAGCAGCTCCTGCTTCTTCAACCCACCCCTCAGCCCGTACACCCTGCAGGCTTCCTTCAGCACGGGCACAGTGAGCTTACCCAGCGTGCCCTTGCTCACATGGGCCTTCAGATCCTCTTCAGATAACTCCATCTTGGGCCTTTTGCTGCCAGAACCTTCATCATCTGGGGGAAAAGGTCAGGAGGGAATGACTGGAAATGCTACCAGTAGCAACCAGCTACACTGCACAGGGGCCCTCCTATGATCTGGGCTGCAGCTAACCACCTTCCATAAGGCTGTGATGCCCACCTAGAACCCCACGGGAGGGTGGCTTTTGGTTCTTTGGTTTTGTAAGGTTTACTTATTTGAGAGGGAGAAAGAGTGCGGCGGGGAGGGGCAGAGGGAGAGACTCTGAAGCAGACTCCATACTGAGCCCAATATGGGGCTGGATCCCACGACCCCAACATCAGGACCTGAGCCGAAATCAAGAGCTGGACGGTTAACCGACTGCACCACCGAGTCGCCCCTGGAGGGTGTTTTGATAAGACAGCTTATCAGCTAAAGTCAAAACTGTACCACCCTGAGAAGGGAGTTCAAAGTAGTGTAAGTGCCCCAGTTTACCCAAAATGGGTGCTCACTCTGGGTAAGTCATTCATTCCTTCCTTCATTGAAAAAGCACTTACCGAGCGCTGTGTAAAGTACTAGGGCACCATACTCGGTGGTCAGAAAGTGCAAGCAGAGGGGGATAAACAAGCAAATCACTGGGGCGCCCGGGTGGCTCAGTCGGTGAAGCGTCTGCCTTCGGCTCAGGTCATGATCCCAGGGTCCTGGGATCGAGCCCCGCATCGGGCTCCCTGCTCCGCGGAGAGCCTGCTTTTCCCTCTCCCACTCCCCCTGCTTGTGTTCCCTCTGTTGCTGTCTCTCTCGCTCTAATAAATACATAAAATCTTAAAAAAAAAAAAAAAAAGTAAAGTGTGCACAGGTGTGAAGAGCTATGACAGCAGTTCCCAGAGGACACTGTAAGAGTCACTTCAGATGCAAAAGAGAGAAAGCTCCATGGCCACCAACCCAGGCTCTCACAGCTCCACTTCCTTGTAGGGCTGCTAGGCAAGCAAAGCCCACATCTGGCTTGACTAGACCAAAAATAGCCCCAAAATGTACAACCTAAGCCAGAACTATTCCCCCATGCTAAGGAACTCACAACATGTCGTCCTGAAAAAGACGAGAATCATGGTAAAGAGTATTTTGGGTCTAGTGGTAAGAAAAAGGATAGTAAAGAAAAAGATGGTTAAAGAAAAAATGGTTAAAGCCAATCACTGGAAGTTCACAGAAAAAAAAGTCCAATAAAACTACATCTCATTTGGGACGCCTGGGTGGCTCAGTCAGTTAAGTGTCCGACTCTTGATCTTAGCACAGGTCTTGATCTCAGGGTTGTGAGTTCAAGCCCCACATTGAGCTCCACGCTGGGCATGGAGATAACTTAAAATAAAAAAAAATTTTTTTAATTAAAATTAAAAAACAAAACTACATCTCATTCATAACTGGAAAATTGCAAATGAACATAGGATATAGTTTTCCCTCTCTTTTTTTTTTTTTTTTTAAGACTTTATTTGAGAGAGAGAGACACAGTGGGAGAGGGAGAAGCAGGCTTCCCACGGAGCTGAGAGCCCGACGTGGGGCTCGATCCCAGGACCCTGGGATCATGACCTGAACTGAAGGCAGACGCTTAATGGCTGAGCCACCCAGGCGCCCCTCCCTCTATTATTCTTAGTGAAAAAACGAAATAGTATATCAAGTCCAGTACAGGTAAGAATGTAGGGAAATACACTCACTCTTTCTTGAATAGGATATAAATTGTATCACTTTTTCAGAGGCCACCTGGCAATTCTTTTTTTTTTCTTTAAAGATTTTATTTGAAAGAGGGAATGAGAGAGAGAGCATGAGAGAGAGGAGGGTCAGAAGGAGAAGCAGACTCCCCGCTGAGCAGGGAGCCCGATGCGGGACTCAATCCGGGATGATCCGGGGACTGCAGGATCATGACCTGAGCTGAAGGCAGTCGCCCAACCAACTGAGCCACCCAGGCGCCCCCAATTGGCAATTCTGATCAGAATTTTAAATGTCGACACCTTGACCCAGCAATACCACTGCTAGGAATTTATCCTAGATAAACTATGGATCCACTCACACAAGAACGCAACGGTGGTTCATGTTCACTGCAGCCTACCCATCAAGAAAGGTCTGGTTGAACAAACTGTTTACATCTATCCAGTGAAGTACTCTGGAGCCTTGTTTTTTAAATACAGTCGTAGCTTTGTATGGACATAACTCTTCAACATATGTAGCTAAGTAAGAAAATAAACTAGAAAACAAAGTGAATACTAGTCCATTTGTGCTGAAATATGTATGTCTGTATTAAATATGTAGGTTTGTATAGAAATTTCTGAAGGGACATGATCCTCTGTGATAGGACCATAAAGTCAACTTTAAAAAATAACCCAGTTCCTCACCTTGTTTCCGCTTGGGAACTTTTCCTTCAGGATTATAATCCGGTGGGTAGACAAGCTCCTTAAACTCATTCACCAGGGAGCCCAGTCTTTTATCTATTGCTTCAATTTTAGGCACTAGAAAATCAAAACACAAGAAGAGTGGCCAGGTGAGTCACGAGTCCTGGCTTCCTGTCCAGTTCCAAGTCTACGGGGACCAGAGGAGAAAGCACCTAACTGCTGGGGTTGGGGGAAGTCCCGGGAGGGTCCAGGAGGACGCAACTGACCTGGCCATGAATGCCTCTCTAATATTGATCAAGTACCTTCTAACAATCGCATTTAATGAGCACTTACTACAGCCAGGCACCCTTCTAAATGCTTTAAACTTATTTTTTAATTTAATCCTCTAGAGGGTAGGTAAATTTGTCTCCCTGTTTTACAGAGGAAAGCCAAGAGGTTAAATGACTTGCCCGAGGCCAACGAGCTGGGAGTGATAGAGTTACAAACTGGGCTAGATTCTGGGGTTTCAAACCAGAGTCTGTGCCCCCAGTGGGCTTACAGTCTAGTCAGGGTAAGGAGGTGGTGGAAACATAAATGCAGTAGGTGGTAATGCCATGAAGGGACTGAACAAGGCACACTGGGAGCGAGGGAGGGGTCAGGAAAGACTTTCCGCAGCCGGGTCTGGGAAGCTGAGCGCTCTGTTCCTCAGGCAGATACTATTCCAAGCAGCAGAAGGCACAGAAGAAAGAAAGGGCAGGTGACATACAGCTTGAAGGTAGAAGGTCAGGAGGGCAGGACCAGCGAGGAGGCTGGAATTCCAGGCAGTCATGGCGAGGTCATGGAAGCCTTGAACGCCCGCACGGGACTTAAGACATTATCCTGAGAACAGTGGGGAAACTGAAGGGCTATGAGCAGGGGGACGGGGACATGACCCCAACTGCATTTTAGAAAGATCCCCTGGAGCTGTGTGTGGAGTATGACCTGAAGGACGATGAGACAGCAGTTGGGGAGAAGGGCCCATAAACCCAAGAAGGGCCCATAAACCCGAGAAGCGGCAGAACTGACGGACGTACAGACGGAATGTGGGTGTCGGGACAGCCAGTGGAGAGGTGGTGGCTCGCTGGGAGGCCAGGAACATTCGCCAAGACCAACACAACAGGAACAAGATATCTCTGGGGGAAAGACAGTATTTGTGTTACCTTACCACTGCGTACAGTTTGTGGAGCTGTGACCTGAGCCGTGTCACATCGAGGGCAGGCCTGAGGAGAGGAGTCTCATCACCTCCTCACATGGCCACGTTTGCAAAGTACTGAGGGGAGCTCCTGGCACAATGTCACGGCCAAACTGGGCTCCGGCCAAGTCGGAAGCCCCCTGTCCCAGACTACATGAGCGTATGCAAGAACTCTGGTTCTCCACCTGGGAACCAGCTAGGACTTTTAAGAAACACTGATGCTCAAACCCTTCCCCCAGAGATTCTGATTTAACTGGTCTGCAGCTGAGGCCTAAACAGCCAGATTTTTTTTAAGTCCCCCAGACAATTCTGTTGTAGGCCCAAGTTGAGAACCAATGTGCTAGAGGTCGGGGCATGTCTCAAAATCACCTGGAAGGCTTGTTGTAAAACACAGATTGCTGGGTCCCAAGCTGTTTCAGAATTAGTCGGCTTGGGAAAGGGCTCAAAACTGGCCTTTCTGACAAGTTTCCCGGTCATGCCAGTGCTGCTGGCCCGGGGAGCACACGCAGAACCCCTGGGGTAGCCTGCGGAGGCCACCGAGGGAGAAGTGAGGTGACAGAGAAAGATGGGGCCCAAGGTCACCTAGAGCGAAGACCGCAATCGTGAGTCTTCAGTAAGTGATTTACGAAGAGAAAGCCATTATCACTGTGTCGGAGGGAAGCAGAGACACGTCGGAGTAGAGCTGAGTGAAGAACATGAAAGGGCAAAGAGTCAAAGCTGTCCGAGGTCTGAGTGGTAGGAAAGCTGGGTGGCGCAGCAGATGGCCACCGGCAGGGCAGCTGCGGTTCCAGCCAGAGCCAAGCAGAAAGGACGGCTGGGGACACAGGCTCGGGAGTCATGGACATGAGAGAGGACGCTGGAGGCCATAGGAGCGGACAAGATAACGAACAGAAAGGGAGAGCAGAGGGGCTGAGGAGTTAGAGGGAACATCACAGCAGCCAAAAGTGTTTTGAAAATAGAGGCAGGAAGAGAAAACACGACTTGCAGTAAAATTACAGGACAGGCGCCAGGATGCAAGAGGCCAAGGCCATGGTAAGGAACAGAGAGGACGCTGCGGAATAACGGGGAAACACCGTGTCCTGAGCACTTCCTGAGCATCAGGACCGAGATGTGGTTAATCCCTTGTAAGAACAACTCACTGTCCCTATTTTACCCATAAAGAAACTGAGTTTCAGGGAGATTAATGAGATCCCAAGGCTAATCAAGTATGTGGCAAAGCTGGGATTCAAATCTGTATCAGCTGTTTCCGAAGCCCGAGTCCTTCACCACCTTGCTGGAGACCAGGCCACTTAACTTCCTGATTCGCTAAAGGCCACCAAGAAAGACAGGCCGCGTCACCCCAGCCCTGCCCTCCCGCCGGATCCGCAGCACAGGTATACCAGCTCTTACAGCGCTCGTGCGGGGCTGCTTGGTCTAGCGTAAGAGAGATCATTAATAACTGCAGAGCTGAGCAGGCCACACTAATTGCTCGGATCTTTTCAACCTCTGTCAAGAGCCCTCATTAAGTCCCATCTGTTTCCTGCTGGGTGTTTACTGACATCACTAAACTGCGCATGTGCTCTCGTGAAATATGTAAGAGAATCACAGTCAAGAAAGGGCCAGGTAGCGAGCTCAGAGCTCGACCGAGGGAGGCCAGGCGCATCTCCCCGATGCTGGGTAACGAGGTGGATCTTCTCAGGTAGAGCACGCAGTCTGCACCGTGGTGCCGAGCACGGGCTCCAGGCCAGACTCCCTGGATTCTAAACCTAGATCCACCGCTCACCACTTCGTGCCTCGGCACATCACTCCCTTCTCTAGAAAACAAGGCCGACAGCAGCGCCTACCTCGTAGTTACGAGAATTAAATGAGTCAACAACATATAGGACAACAGTGCCTGGGACACAGTGAGCGCTCAATAAATGTTACAGATTATCATTACTTCTTTTACTTTTACCAACATGTAGTCATGAGGTGGCCGCCTCATTCAAAGGCAGGTCTCAGAAGCCTGGCACTTTGCTCTCCTCTCACGACAGAACCAGCCAAATCTGCTCCGAGGCGGTCTACGCTGGACTAGAAAATCTCTCGGACATGGCTGGAACAAGGAGGTTAAATCTTTAGAGGGTGCTAGGACATGCATCCACCTTTCTGGTCCAGAGTGGGGTTGTTATGAAAAGCTCCCGCGGAAAGAACCACCGAGCTTCGCCACAGCCTTCTTACGTGTCAGATCCACCGCTTGCTCGGGCTCCATGAGGTCCAAAGCCAGCGCCTCCAGGTTCCTGAAGTGTTGCTGCAGCACTGGGTTCTCGAAGCTGTCACTTCTAGTAAAACAATCATAGTAGCATAAATACACTGAAACAACGGAACATTTAAAAAATAAATGAATAAAATTATTAAATAAACCCGACTGGGGGCGCCTGGGTGGCTCAGTCGTTGAGCTTCTGCCTTCGGCTCAGGTCATGATCCCAGGGTCCTAGGATCGAGCCCCGCATCGGGCTCCCTGCTCAGCGGGAAGCCTGCTTCTCCCTCTCCCACTCCCCCTGCCTGTGTTCCCTCTCTCGCTGGCACTCTCTCTGTGTCAAATAAAATCTTTTTAAAAAATAAATAAATAAATAAACCTGACTGAGGCAGCACAGGCCCGGGGTCGGCTGAGGAAAACAGCCCAAATCAAACAGTGGGGAATCTTGTCTCTTGAGTCAACTTTTCTCTCTCCAATTTTCAATTTATTGGGAATCCAAAAGCTAATTTAGAAGCAAACACCTGCCCATCTGTCTGTCACGAGAAGCAGTGGGCAGAGAGAGACATGGAGGAGGCAGGGCCGTGAAGTACGAAAACACGACAAAGGAGAGAAGGTGCGACATGGGGAGAGAAAGAACCCAAACACTCTTTCTCCCCACGCTCAGCAGCAGCTGAGAGTAAAAGAATCCTCTCACCTCAGGAGACAGTTCCAGAAGAAAGCCTGAGGTGGACCCACTACTCACCTGTAGTTGAAACGGAGCTTCTGAACAATAGCCTTCATCTTGTCTATCTGCTCTGGGTTCGCCATGACTTTTTCGGTAAAGGGCACCTTCCGTTTATCATCAGCGTAGGGTAAGAAGACAAGCTGGAAGCCTGAAGAAGGGAGGTAAAATTTTCTGAGATTTGACTTCACAAAAGGTTTCAGTTACCGAGTTGTCATTTGCCTCTCAACTCCAAATTCGCCCTTCTAGACCTGTGATGCTGGGGCTGGGACCCTGCCAACCCTGCTTCTCCTTTATCAGCTGATTCCTGTGAGCATCTGCCTGACCGACTCCCTCTGGGGCCTGCAGAGCAGAGAGGGAGGCAGGAGTACTCCTTCCCGGGCCGTCCCGTCCCTGCCGGCCTTGCCCCAGCCATCGCTCTCTGTCAGGGCCCTTCACCTGCCTGGAACAGTTGGTTCCAGCCTCCAGCTTTCTTGACTCCCCAGAGCCAGCTGGGCAGCGGCGCCTCCCTGGAGGGCTGAGTCCCAGCTCCATGGGGCCCTCCGAGCTCCAGCCTCTCCCCTCGGTTCCCCCATCCCCACCCCACGCTCAAAGGAAAGAGGAAGGGTTATCCGGCTGCTCTTGTTCCAGGTTCTAAGAGAGTCAAAAACCTAGACTAGAACCAACGGCTGCTGCCAGGTGAAGGGCCCTTGCTCGCAAAGCCAACAGCGCTGAGTAAGTGGAAGGAGCAAGTCCCTTTGCTCTCCTCTGCCCTACGGTCTCCCTCGAGCACCCAGTACTGACACAGCCTACAGACAGTCGGCTGGCAAAGGAGGAAACTGGGTTTGGAGAGTGTCAGCCTCAGCAGCACAGAGCGTAATAGGAGGAATTTGGAGCTGAGAGACAAGAGCTTACTAAGTGACATACAAAGCTATTCCTCAGCCGTCTGATCACCAGGGTTACAAATATAACATTTTCAAAGAGTTACTTTATAGTTCATTTTTATTAGCATGGCTAAGGAAGAAAGAAGACTACCTACCATCTCTTGGCTACTTTGTACTAGTCACTTATACAACCTTAAGAGTAAGGTGTTCCAGAATTCTCATCTTTGCAGATAAGGAATATAAGGAGACAGGTTAAATTATTTGCCCAAGTCGGCCAGGTAACAAGTGGCAGAGGTGGGCCTGAAACAAAAGAAAGTAAACTTTCGGGGCGCCTGGGTGGCTCAGTTGGTTAAGCGACTGCCTTCGGCTCAGGTCATGATCTTGGAGTCCCTGGATCGAGTCCCGCATCGGGCTCCCTGTTCAGCAGGGAGTCTGCTTCTCCCTGACCCTCCCCCCTCTCATGTGCTCTCTCTCTCTCTCATTCTCTCTCTTTCAAATGAATAAAATCTTAAAAAAAAAAAAAAAGAAAGTAAACTTTCCCACACATAAGAATAAGTCAAGTCTGACTTCAAAACCCATGGTCTTTCTGCTACACCTCATTGCCTTGGTGTATACAGAGGATAAACCAAATGTTAAACATTGCAAAGGTGCTAACAATGGCTTTTAGTAAAGCTGCCAGCAGTTGAGCCATAAACTTTGTCAGTAACCTGCAAACAGTCCCTAAGCAGCCAACGCTCAATCATGGCTGCAGAGCTGCCTGGTACAGTTGCACATGCTGTGCACTGCACAACCATATTTGGCAGCTTTACCTGGCTCTGCATCAAATCCACCTGTGAAACCCTAAAAATACACCTTTTCCAGACCCCATTCCTGGAGACTCTGGTTCAGCAGGTCTGAGTTGGGATCCTATGAGGGATTCCAAAGTCTGAACAAGGTTCAGAAGCACTGAAAAGATCTCTTCCACATACCTGGGGGAGTCACCTGAATTTTCTGCTCATCTAGCTCCTCTTCCTGTGGCAACAAGGCCACAAAATAAGGAGGGATGTTCCGACGGGGGGTGTATCTGCACACTGCCATGACCTCCTTCTCCAGACACTTGGTGAGGAGAGCACTGAACAGGGTTGAGCTCCCTGGAAAACAAACATCCCAGGAGTCTGCATCCTAAAGATATCTCCTCCTCGTTTCCCTCTTAGCCCATGTTATAAGCTTACAATTTCTCTTCCATTTTCTTAAAAGGGCTTATGATACTTCATTAGGTAAGGTGTGATGAGCCCAGAGCTGAAGGGAAAGTGGGGACAGCAGAGGTGCAGAAAGGAAGAGAAAGGAAAGCAATGAGAGATCAGATGCCTCAAACACTCCATTTCAGAGTGTGAATTATTAATATTAGTTCACTTTTACTATCTTTAGACTAATGATATAAGCCCCAGTTACTCATAAAAGCCAACCAGGTCAAATCCAGGGGTTCATTAGCTATAGCACAGAGGAATATAGGTCTGGACAAACACAATGACCTAGTTCATAGCATCTTTAATTGCCAACACTAGGGAACAAACTGGGTTTTTCTTTTCTTTTTAATTCTCTATCTGATGCCTCAAAGAAAGACTTCCAGAGGAAGTAAGTTTTAAAAATTCTAATTCCATATCCCCTCCTGGATGTTTACAATGCGTATCAGTGTATTATAGGTCCTAAAGAAATCTCTAATTTTGTTTAGTCCCGAATTTCCAAAACTTATCTGAGCATGAAAAACTTTCAAAATACCCCCTTAATACGTACATCCTATCCAGGTTCCAAGCAGAACTACCTTCTGTTACTCATTCATTTACCCTCAGTCTACACCACATACCATTCACCAGGGACTCTTCGGGGTACACGAACAGGGAGGGCCTCAGGTAATGGTGCTTCTTCAACAATATCAAGGGCTTGAAACCGATGAGAATCAAACCTGGTTCATCAAAGCGTTTCAGCTCTTCTGTTTCCTCTTTCTCTAGTACAATCTGACGACTCCCATAGTTCTAAAGGAAGGGGAACATGAGGGCCATGTACACAGGCTACGTGGAGATGCAAAGTGATTGCCACACGACCCTAGCAAGTTAAAATCAGCTTTCTTCTAAGGAACAGGAAGATGGCTCACCAAGGGCATCTTCCTCCTACCGTGGGGAATGAACATTTACTGAGTGCTTGCCAGGCACCTTATATTCGTCATCCAATTTATCTTGTGTGTCCAGCCTAGGCGATAGATGTTAAAAACTGTTTTACAGATGAGTGAACTGAGTCTTGATGGTTGGTAACTTGCTCCAGGTTACATAATTGAATTGGGCTTTAAACCACCAGCTCTCTGGTGCTGAAGGCCATTCTCTTCAGGCATTTATTCGAACCCTCAGCATCATCCCTGACCCACAAAGGAAGCTCAAAACACGCCTATTTATCAAGAGGACACATGTCAGGTACTGTGGTAGGTCTGAGAAAACACGCACATTAAGTATTACTTTCAAACTTTAATTTTGCACTGTGGTCATAGATATACGACTGTCAACAGAATTTAGCAAGAGTCCAATTTGAGTTTAATCAACAAAACAGAGCCCTCAAGTTTTTTCGAAGGCATACTGGATCACGAAAGAAACTCCATGACCAGAAGAGCTACTACCTATGAATAAACCAACGTGGATAACGAGTTACTTCCAAAATGGAAGAGGAAATTTCTTGTCTTCTCCTTCAAAAAGTAGAGCAAAACACTCTGGCTTGAGATTTGTGCTCTAAAAAATATCTCATGGGTTGAATCAAAATAATATTTAATTTTAGCCACTTAGTTGATCCTTCTAGGTCCTGAACTTATGCAAAAAAATCTCAGATTCTCTCCCACATTTTGCATTAATTAAAAGGATGACTCATTTGATTTTAATTTCAGATATCCAATCCTTCCACAGATTGAACAAAGGTGAGAGAATGAAGAAAGATAATGTTCTGCATTCTTAGTCTGTCCTTCAGATTAAGAAAGGCACATGTGTATCATTTCAAAGCACAGGAAAAAATTTGGTTTGGGGAAAAAAAAAAACTCTCCCTAAAATAAAGTGCACTTCACACCTAACACACTTTCCCTAGCCCATCTCCCTAGTTAACTATAAAGCATTTTCAGGGCGCCTGGGTGGCTCAGTTGTTAAGCGTCTGCCTTCGGCTCAGGTTATGATCCCAGGGTTCTGGGATCGAGCCCCGCACTGGGCTCCCTGCTCCGCGGGAAGCCTGCTTCTCCCTCTCCCACTCCCCCTGCTTGTGCTCTCTCTCTCGCTGTGTCTCTCTCTGTCAAATAAATAAATCTTTAAAAAAAAAAACAAACTATAAAGCATTTTCTGCTACTGTACCCAAGCAAGGAATTCGACTGTTAGAGCAGAATGCAAAGAGTGATCAAGGGCTAAAGTTTCCACTGACATTTTTTTCAAACACTGGTTCCAACTTTCTAGCTGTCAAAGTATCAACGATCTAGATGCTGGGGCACCTGGCTGGCTCAGCTGGAGAAGCATGCAACTCTTAATCTCGGGGTTGTAAATTCAAGCTCTACGTTGCCTGTAGAGATTACTTAAAAATAAAATCTTAAAAAAAAAAAAAAAATGATCAGGGTGCTTGGGTGGCTCAGTCGGTTAAGGATCTGCCTTTGGCTCAGGTCATGATCCCAGGGTCCTGGAATCAAGCCCTTTGTTGGGCTCCCTGCTCAGCGGGGAGTCTGCTTCTCCCTCTCCCTCTGCCCCTCCCCCTGCTCCTGCTGTCTCTCTCTCTCTCTCTGTCTCTCAAATAAATAAATAAAATCTTTAAAACAAAACATCTAGATGCCAGAGTTCCAAAGAGGAATGGCTTTGTGTTTTAACAGCTTAGCTACAAAGATGCACACAGAAAGGTATTTAACTGGTTAGGCTAAATCAAGGTCTCCCTCCCTGTTAACTCTTCAATGGGACAAAATTCAGTAAGAAGGTAGGCCTACCTGAGACCTCTTGGTGTCGTTAGGCAGAAGCAAACTGCCCGTATTTACATTAAACGTCCGGGTCTTGGATTTCACTGGTTCATTGGTTTCCCGATAAAGCCTCACAGGAGGAGGTTTGACAGCCTTCTGGACCATATTATACATGCCGACAGTGAGTGCTATATCTTTGCTGAGCTTAAGCTTCAACCTGGGGGAGAGAAAAACAAAAAACCATGGAAAGATTATGCTTTCCTAGCTAAAATTCTTTTGTGGCACCCAAGCCTTATTTTATTCTCTCCATAATCCAAATTTCTCGAATATAAATATAACAGTTTTAATAATAGAGTTTGCTATAATACTATCTCAGGGTCTATACCACAAAAATTCGTTTCAGAATATACTGTTAACTACTTAAAATAATGATGAAGAGTGTACTGTAATAAAAATAATAATGATTGTTTTGGGGTGCCTGGGTAGCTCAGTCGGTTAAGCATCCAACTTTTGATTTCAGCTCAGGTCATCGATCTCAGGGTTGGGGGATGTGAGATCAAGCCCCACACTGGGTTCTGCACTCAGCGGGCAGTCTGCTTCTCTCCCTCTCTCCCTCCGCCCCGATGCTCTCTCTCTAGAACAAACAAACAAAAAGATTCTCTCTCCCTCTCCCTCTGCCCCCCCCCCGCCACGCTCTCTCTCTCTAAAACAAATAAATCGGGGGGGAAAAAAAAAAGATTCTCTCTCTGTCTTCCTCTGTCCCTCCCCCGCCATGTGCACACATGTTCTCTTTCTCTCTTTAAAAAAAAAAGGGGCGGGGCGCCTGGGTGGCTCAGTTGGTTGGGCGACTGCCTTCGGCTCAGGTCATGATCCTGGAGTCCCGGGATCGAGTCCCGCATCGGGCTCCCTGCTCGGCGGGGAACCTGCTTCTCCCTCTGACCCTCCCCCATCTCGTGCTCTCTCTCTCTGTCTCATTCTTTCTCTCAAATAAATAAATAAAATCTTTTATAAAAAAAAAAAAGGGCGTCTGGGTGGCTCAGTCATTAAGCGTCTGCCTTCGGCTCAGTTCATGATCTCAGTGTCCTGGGATCGAGCCCCACATCGGGCTCCCCCTGCTTAGCGGGGAGCCTGCTTCTCCCTCTCCCTCTGCATGCTGTTCCCCCTGCTGGTACTCTCTCTCTCTCTCGCTCCATCTCTCTCAAATAAATAAAATCTTAAAAAAGATATAAATTAGTATGTTAACAAAGAACTCAGGACAGTGCCTGGCATACAATAACCATGCAATACAATAATTCCATTATTTGATTATAGTGGGAACATTAATCATTTTTTAAGCTAAGGCATTATTAATTCTCAAACAGTTCCAATTTATTATTCCTCTCAAGTATCCTGTAACAACTCTTCCACAGAATAACACTAGCAGCTAACATTTGTAAATAATTACCATGCGCCATGCGCTATGCCTGGGTTATCTCAATACAGCCGTCCTGTGAGGAGGGACCATTTTTGCCCCCATTTTACTGAGGTCCAGAGAAGTTACATGACTTGCCCCAGGATGCCCAGCAGAAGGACCAGGACTACAATCCAAGCCAACCTGACTCCAGGACCTACATTTAACCACTATTTTACCCTCTCTGCCATCCCCACCAAAATGTGTGCTACATTTCCAAACTGTAGTAACAATACTCCATTATTTCAGGAAGGAGGAGAGATGCCAGGGTGTTTGTGTGAAGAAAAAGAAATCATTCCTAAGGGGGAAAGGAGAGCCAACAGCCAAACTACAGCTGTAGCAATGGGCTGGTGTGTGGTTTCCCTAAAATCATTTCATGGGCTTTCTAGTAGAATTGTCAGTAATCTCTTGAAAACTGCTCAAAAACTACCGATGGTCATATTTCCCTATGTTGAGGAACCTAGTCTAAAATGAAAGCCTGGGACGCCTAGGTGGCTCAGTTGGTTAAGTGTCTGCCTTCAGCTCGGGTCATGGTCCCGGGGTCCTGGGATCCAGTCCCGTGTTGGGCTCTCTGCTCCACAGGGAGCCTGCTTCTCCCTCTCCCTCTGCCTGCCGCTCCCCCTGCTTTGTGACCTCTCTCTCTGATAAATAAATAAAATCTTTTTTTTTTTTAAGATTTTATTTATTTGACAGAGAGAGAGAGAGCACAAGTAGGCAGAGAGGCAGGCAGAGGGAGAGGGAGAAGCAGGCTCTCCGCCGAGCAGGGAGCCGGACGTGGGGCTCGATCCCAGGACCCCGGGATCATGACCTGAGCTGAAGGCAGATGCTTAAACCAACTGAGCCACCCAGGCGCCCCAATAAATAAAATCTTTGAAAAAATAAATAAAAATAGGGGCGCCTGGGTGGCTCAGTTGTTAAGCGTCTGCCTTCAGCTCAGGTCATGGTCCCAGGGTCCTGGGATCGAGCCCCACGTCCGGCTCCCTGCTCGGCGGAGAGCCTGCTTCTCCCTCTCCCACTCCCTCTGCTTGTGTCCCCTCTTTCGCTGTGTCTCTGTCAAATAAAATCTTTAAATAAATAAATAAATAAATAAAAATAAATTTAAAAAAATAAAATGAAAGCCTGATGTGACCTTTAGAAAGCAGAACGGGAGAGCCCTTGGGACTCTAAGGGCAAAGCTCTATAAGAGAAAGTAATTTAACAAGCTGGTTCCTGTTGGTCTCAAGTTTATGAGAAATCAGAATAACTCAACACCAGTGACAATAACTAGCACCCACTAAGTTTTTGCTCCATACCAGTATTACTGTTACCCACAATTTACGGAGGAGCAAGCAGATGACATACTAGTGACTGCATCTGAGGACAGCAGTAGGCCCCAGCTGTTTACCCCAATGAAGTGGAGACCCGTGTTATTCTGGAGAGCTAGCCTACCAGCTCTTGCCAGAGGAAGAGAAGCAGATATGCAAATATGCTAGGCTGAAATAAAGCAAGTTTTCAGTGAGGCACAAAGTGAGGCACTGAGGGTAAGTGGCCAGGGAAGCTCTCTCAAAGCAGCCCGGTGCTTACGATCAGGTAGGGCACTTGTGGGAGGCTGGCCCAGGTTCAGAGCACACCTGCAGAGCACGCGCTTCCTGGTCTCCTTGGCACGAACCTTCCTCAACAGGTCTTCCAGTTTGCTGGATTCCTCAAAGTGAACCCCTAGATCCTCATCCTCGGCTGTGCTGATGATATCTCGGTAAAACAAGGATATGTCAAAGCCCCCACGTTTCCTCAGGTGCATCAAGTCCAGGAAGATACCTGGGGCAAGGAAAACAAACGATTTGCGGCAAGCGAGAATTTTTTTCAGTTAAGCCCAAATATGCAAAGAAATAGATGGATTATTAACATTTTCGGGATGTACAGAATGGCTAAGGGAATGAGCTGCTATAAGGACAACTTATTCAATAGGCTCTGCACCCAATGTGGGGCTCAAACTCCCAACCCCAGGATCAAAAGTTGAATGCTCTACTGACTGAGCCAGCCACCACGCAGGGTAGAGCCCTTCAGAAAGCGAATGGCCTTTGGTTAAACGTTCAACTCTTGATTTCAGCTCGGGTCATGATCTCAGGGTTATGAGACTGAGCCCCGAGGCAGGCTCCACACTCAGCAGGGAGTGTGCGTCTCTCTCTCCTTCTCTCTGCCCCTCCCCCTGCTCATGCGCACGCTCCTCTCTCTAAAATAAATAAGTCTTTTTAAAAAAGAGAGAAAGTGAATGGCCTCATCATTTTCAGTAGGAATATTACACAGGTATCTCCCCCTGGCTTCATTTTATTCTTTCATTTCACACTCAGTGGAGAAAAACAAATGTTTGACATCCGCTATAAAGAAGCAGTAAGATTAAGTGCCCATTTAAAAGAACAGGGAAAATGCCAACCTGTGTCACGGAGATCCCCAGCTTTGGTCCTGGCCCGGCTGGCTTTGGCACTGTCACTGCCATGGGGGTCATCTTCATTGGTGAACAGCATGATCCTCTTATGGCTCATCTTGACCTGGACATCGCTAAACAGGTTGGCACAGACCCACAGCACTTCACTTAGTGAGTAGTCAGATCCATGGCCAATCAGGTCTTGGAAATGTTTTTTCCCCTGCTCCCCTTTAAACTGGTCAAGCTCAAGCACTCGTTTAGCACCTGATCAGAGACAGGGAAGTCAAGCAGGCAGAAAAATCAGAACAGAGTCAGTGCCGCATTTATCAGGCTAACAGAAGAGCCGAGGTCCCGTTCTCACCCCAAAAGTGTTCAACCCATAAAGTCCACATCCCAGGAAGAACCCTCCTGTGCAGGAAAGCATACTCTTAGTCAAGATGCCATCTACTTCCTTCTCCACATCCTTCTTTGTTCAGGGTAGTGACCTTCCAATGTAAGGGAAAAGCTGATCTTACACCTCTACTGACCTGGATTATCCAACTCCTGTAAGACGTAAATATTTTTGAAATTCACTGAATTTTTATCCTTCTCAGTACCATAGAACACCACTGCCAAGAGATCTTGATCACTGCTTATGATCTTATTGGTATACACACTGTGGATACACTGACAAAATCAAAACAAAAATGCAATTAATATTTAACTTGCCATTAAATTTAAACTCCATAAGTGCCTGGCACATAGTAGGTGCTTAATATATTTGCTGAATCTGTACATGGCATTAGATTAAGGCATGACCCCTACCTTCAGGAAAGTCATGAATCAGCAAGAGGGACAGGCATATATATTATGCTATAACAAAAGGCAGAGTGTGTTAAGTATATAACAGCAGTATAAGTAGTTCCTACGATAAGAAAACAGAGAATTAAAAACACGTATTAGTCAGAGAGGAAATTCTGCTATAAGAGGGAAAAACAGCCCAGTATGGGAATCAGAAAACCTGGATTGAATCCCACTGATGTCATTTACTTAATTGTCTGAGTTTGTAGAGGCCACCTGATCTTCCCTCAAGCAGCTTGAGACCAAGAAACAGAACGTACATATGTAAAATAATTATGTATGTGAAAGGTTTTAGCTAACAATAAGTAGATGTGACCCAAAAATAAGTCCGTAACTGCTAACAGCATCTTTTTTTTTCCTAACAGCATCTTTTAGAATAAAATTTGCTTAATTACACAATTAATGATGCCAGTATTCCAGGAAAGTCCTGTCTACCCATTTAAACTAATGTTAGCATCTGGTAAATCAGTGTCTCCTAAGAGCTGCTCAGTCCTGTGACCTACTTAATTCTGGAGGGTACTGACAACATCCAGTTTCTGAATCTACAAAGCTGAGAAATAATGCAACCATGGTTGACACCTCCCACCCTGTCCCCATGTCGGGTCTGAGACTCTACCCAGCCTCCCTCAACAGTAATTCTCTCCTTAAATGCAGAACTTCATGTATGTCTACTCATCGACAATAATCTGCATGGCAAGTAATTATTTCTACAAGTATTTTAATCTACCCTTTTCCTTTATTGAAGTATAGTTATTTTTTTTTTTTAAGATTTTTATTTATTTATTTATGAGAGACAGAGAGAGAGGCAGAGGGAGAAGCAGGCTCCCCGCTGAGCAGAGAGCCCGATGCGGGACTTGATCCCAGGACCCTGGGATCATGACCTGAGCCGAAGGCAGATGCTTAACCATCTGAGCCACCCAGGTGCCCTGAAGTATAGTTATAACACAACGTTACCTTAGTGGCCGGTGTACAACACAGCGATCTAACAAGTCTATGCATGATGCTGTGCTTGCCACATGTGTAGCTCCCATCTGTCACCATATAAAGCTATTACCATACCACTGACTATATTCCTTCTGCTGTACTTTTCATTCCCACAACTTTCTCTTTTTTTGACAGAGAGAGAGGTAATGAGAGCAGGAACACAAGCAGGGGGAGTGGGAGAGGGAGAAGCAGGCTTCCCGCTGAGCAGGGAGCCTGATGCGGGGCTCGATATGATGTCCCGGGCTGAAGGCAGGCTCTCAGCGACTGAGCCACCCAGGCACCCCTCATCCCAACTTTTAATCTACTTTGAGTAGTCTCTAAACATTTACAAAAATTTGGTGAGGGCTTCTTTTAAGTTCTAAGAATTAAAAATACAAAAAAAAAAAAATGTTTTTTTGAGAAAATGTTTTTTCATTGCTTATCAAATACATTATACTCATCTATGAATGTCTCACTTAGTTGCTACATAATACTACATTTTCTTCTGGGTTCTTTAGGCATTGAGGGTTCTAAGAACCCTCTGAAATTACACGTAGAAGTGTGAGTGTATCTTTTTGGAGATAGGGTACATAGCTTTCGCCACATCCTTCTTTTTTTTTGACAGAGAGAGATAGTGAGAGCAGGAACATCTGTGTTCCTGCTCTCACATGCTCAAAGAGGGTCACAATCCGAAAAAGGTTAAAGCAGTGATCCTCAAAAAGTGATCTCCAAACTAGCAACAGCAGCATCACCTGGGAACTTGCTGGAAATGCAAATTCTTGGTCCCAGCTCTAGACCTAATAGAACCAGAAATTCTGATTCTGGGGTAAGGCTCTGCATCTGTGCTAACAAGTCCTACAGATGATTCTGAAAACCACTGCTTTAAAGTTAAAGACTGGGGCGCCTGGGTGGCTCAGTCGTTAAGCATCTGCCTTCGGCTCAGGTCATGATCCCAGGGTCCTGGGATCGAGCCCCACATCAGGCTCCCTGCTCGGCGGAAAGCTTGCTTCTCCCTCTCCCACTCCCCCTGCTTGTGTTCCCTCTCTCGCTGTCTCTCTCTCCGTCAAATAAATAAATAAAACTTTAAAAATAAATAAATAAATAAAATAAAGTTAAGGCCTATTCTAATTCTTTTTCTAGATGCAAGATATTCTGATTTGCCAACCACAAGAACTGTTTATATACAAATCAGAACATCAGAAGCTTCTGTTTGGTTCCAAACTAAAAATATAAAACATAATATATATGATAAGTCTTCATAATTTATAATTCCTCTCTATAAAGAAATGGTAATCTTCTGGAGGTGGACTTCACATAACAAAATTAACCATTTTTATTTTATTTTTAAATAGGCTCCATACCCAGTGTAAGACTTGAACGCACAACCCCAAAATCAAGGGTCTCATGCTCTACTGACAGCCAGCCAGGAGCCCCCAAATTAACCATTTTATTTTATTTATTATTATTTTTAAAGATTTTATTTATTTATTTGACAGAGAGAGACACAGAGAGGGAACACAAGTAGGGGGAGTGGGAGAGGGAGAAGCAGGCTTCCCCGTGGAGCAGGGAGCCTGATGCGGGGCTCGATCCCAGGACCCTGGGATCAAGACCTGAGCCGAAGGCAGCCGCTTAACGACTGAGCCACCCAGGCGCCCCCCAAATTAACCATTTTAAAATGAGTAATTCAGTGGTATTTAATACATTCACAATGCTGGGCAACCACCACCACTATCTAGTTCTGAAACAATTTCATCACCCCAAAAGCAGACACCACTCTTACCATTAAGCAGCTGCTCCCCCCATTCTTCTGTCCCCATCCCCACTCCTGGTAACCACTAACTTACATTCTCCATGGATTATGTATTCTTTATTTCATTTAAATGTAACCAAAAACCATGTGACCTTTTGTCTGGCTTCTTTCACTTAACATGTTTTCAAGGTTCATTCACCTTGTGGTATCAATACGTCATTCCTTTTTATGGCTGAGAAATATTCCACTGCATGAATATACCTTTTGTTTATCCACTCAAAATGTTCAGGAATGAGATAGAGGTGGTGTACACAACATTATGAGTGACTAAAACCTTTGAATTGTTACCTTGAAATGGTTCATCTCATGTTATGTAAACTATACCTCAATTCAAAAAACAAAATATTGGGGCGCCTGGGTGGCACAGTTGGTTGAGCGTCAGACTCTTGGTTTTGGCTCAGGTCGTGATCGCAGAGTCGTGAAATCAAACCCCACATTGGGCTACTCGCTCAGCGGGGAGTCTGCTTGAGATTCTCTACCCCTCCCTGCCCCTCCCCCTGTTCACACTCTCTCTCTTCAATAAATCCTTTTTTTTTTTTTTAAGATTTTATTTATTTGACAGAGAGAGACATAGTGAGAGAGGGAACACAAGCAGGGGGAATGGGAGAGGGAGAAGCAGGCTTCCCGCGGAGCAGGGAGCCCAACGCGGGGCTCAATCCCAGGACCCTGAGATCATGACCTGAGCCGAAGGCAGACGCTTAACAACTGAGCCACCAGGCGCCCCTTAAATAAATAAATCTTTAAAAAAAAAAACAGAACAAAACAAAATATTTACTCCTTGATGTGGGAGGTACTATTATTCTCTCCATTATACAGATGAGGAAATAGATACCAAAAGGTTCAGCAACTCTTCTGACAGCATATAGTTTGTAAGTGACAGAATCAGGTCTTGAGTCCCTGTTTTTTACTCTATTGGGTATTTAGCTGGGAGAGGGATTGCTGGGTCATATGAGAATTCTATGTTTAACTCTTTGAGGAACTGCCACTCTGTTTTTCACAGTAGCCAATCCATCTCACATTCCCACCAGCAATGTAGGTTTCCAATTTCTCCGCATCCCTGCCAATGCTTCTTAGTATCCTTTTTTTTTTTCCCCTCTAAAATATAGCCATGCTAGTGGGTTGTGATACCTCACTGTGGTTTTGATTTGCTTTTCTCTAATGACTACAGATGTTGTACATCCTTTTGTGGGCTTCTTGGCCATCTGTAGATCTCTAGAGAAATGTACATTCAAATTCTATGCCCATTTTTAAATGAGGCTTTTTGTTGTAACCTTTTTTCAACCACAGGTAATACTCAACTTCTAAATACCAATTACAAGAGGACTCATTTTGACACCATAACCACTGGAACTTCCTTTCTTCCTTCACACGCACATCTCTATGGAAGGAGAAGCCCTTCTGTACCATCCAGGCTAACGCAGAAAGTGGGAGCAATGTATTCCTAGGGTCTGAAGTTCAAACACAGAATAAAATGGGCCTGTTCTCCAGCACTGCTACCTTTTTTTCAGCTCAGAATATAGGTAGCAATCCTGGGAGGCCAACCAACATTGATCATTCACAAACAAATTTTTCAAAGAGTCCATAATTTTTAGAGTGGTGTTAATACTTTTTTCTTTTTCTCCTTCTTTCTTTTTTTTAATTAAATAGAAGGTAGTCTTACCTGGATGCTCATGTCAAAAGGAGTCAGTTCAACTTCACCCTGAGATTCAAACATGGCCCTAGAACCATCAACCAAAAAAATCAAACTATCTCTTCCCGAATATGTATATTCTCCTATGGGGGAAAAAAAATAGAAGAAAATGTTTGCCCTTGTGTTCATATTTATCATGCTTATTATTCATATAAAACAAACAGAAAAAAGCCCATTACAATGCCCACCCTCCTCCCAAGGGTAACCACTATCCTGACTTTTTTTTTTTCTTTTTTTTTTTTTTAAGGTTTTTTTATTTATTTATCTGAGAGAGAGAATGGGAGACAGAGAGCATGAGAGGGGGAGGGTCAGAGGGAGAAGCAGACTCCCTGCCGAGCAGGGAGCCCGATGCGGGACTCGATCCTGGGACTCCAGGATCATGACCTGAGCCGAAGGCAGTCGCTTAACCGACTGAGCCACCCAGGTGCCCCACCACTATCCTGACTTTTAATAATCATTTCCTTATTTCTTTTATAGTTTATCATTCAAGTGAACATTACTAAACACTAGTTTTGACTTAAAAAAATGTTTTTGGGGACGCCTGGGTGGCTCAGTTAGTTAAGCATCTAACTCTTGATCTCAGCTCAGGTCTTGATCTCAGGGTCATGAGTTCAAGCCCCAAGTTGGGCTCCACGTTGGGCATGGAGCCTACTTAGAAAAAATAATTAGTTTTTGAAGCCTCTTAATCTATAGATACTCCCTCTGTCTTTGTGTCTTATAACTTATTTGTTGAAGAACCAGAATGTTGTGTTATGTAGTTTTCCACCTTCTGGATTTTGCTGACTGCATTCTTTTGGCGTAAATTGACACAATCCTCTGTCTTTCCTACTAAGGACCTAGAGAGGCTTCATCAGATTCAGGTGTTCTTTTTTCCTTATCATAGGCAATGCTGAGTTTTTTATAAAAACACATAAAATGGGGGCTCCTGGGTGGCTCAGTTGCATCTGCCTTCAGCTCAGGTCATGAGCTCAAGGTCCTAGGATCAAGCCCTGTGTCCCTCCCCCTCTGCCCTCCCCCCACCATGCACATGCACACACGCTCTCTCTCTCTCTCTCCCGTTCTCTCTCAAATAAATAAAATCTTTAAAAAAGAAACACACACACAAAAAAAATAAAAAATAAAAAAAATAAAAAATAAAAAAAATAAATAAACAGGGTGCCTGGGTGGCTCAGTTGGTTAAGCGACTGCCTTCGGCTCAGGTCATGACCCCGGAGTCCCTGGATCAAGTCCCGCATCGGGCTCCCTGCTCGGCAGGGCGTCTGCTTCTCCCTCTGACCCTCCCCCCTCTCATGTGCTTGCTCTCTCTCATTCTCTCTGTCTCAAATAAATAAATAAAAAATCTTTGGGAAAAAAAAAAAAAAACACACAGGGGCGCCTGGGTGGCTCAGTCGTTAAGCGTCTGCCTTCGGCTCAGGTCATGATCCCAGGGTCCTGGAATCGAGCCCCACATCGGGCTCCTGGAAGCTGGAAGCCTGCTTCTCCCTCTCCCACTCCCCCTGCTTGTGTTCCCTCTCTTGCTGTGTCTCTCTCTGTCAAATAAATAAAATCTTTAAAAAAATAAAAAAGAAACACATAAAATGTCTGGTTGTCTCCTTTTTTCACACTGCTGCTTTCTAATACAATAAATGTAATTACCCATCTGTAAAACAATATGTCAATTATGGGTCAAGAGTCCTAATAAAAAATTCTATCTTGACCCAGGGGAATTTTTTTTTTAATATTTTATTTATTTATTTGACAGAGAGAGAGAGAGCACAAGCAGGGGAAATGGCAGGCAGAGGGAGAAGGGGGCTTCCCGCCAAGCAGGGAGCCCGATGCGGGGCTCGATCCCAGGACCCTGGGATCATGACCTGAGCCGAAGGCAGCCGCTTAACTGGCTGAGCCACCCAGGCGCCCCTTGACCCAGTGAATTCTTTAGCATCCCAGTGAATTCAGTGAATTCTTTAGCAATCTAAAGAACATAAGATATGGGAAACTCCTTATACAAAATTTTCCACAATGTTGTTCATTAAAGTAAGAAATTGAAAATAACTAAAATGTCCAATGGAAGGCAGACTGAATAAATTACGGTACCTTTAAAATGAGTTATAAAGACAACATATACGTAGTTACATGGGAAAATATATCTATAACACATTAAGGAAAAAAGGCAGAACACAAAATTATGTATATATGTTTAAAATTCCTTTTGGAAGAAGACTGGTGCAAATTAAAATGAAAAAATATATATTCACTATGATTAACTATAAAAAATCAGATACAAAGAAAAACAGACATACATTAAGAAATATCAGAATGAAAGATGAAGGAAATTTCCTTTGATGAAGGAAATATGCAAAATGCTGGCAGGTAGCGTTAGGATGGTAGATTATATAGATCACAGTAAATTTTCTCTTTTTTTAATGTTATATATTTCCTATTTCTCACTTTTAGTAAAAACACTTTAAAATTTTCTTACCCAGGACTTAAATTCACCAGTATGTAGATTACATGTACCCCTTATTTCTCTTCCTTTATTGTGTTACTACCTTGCCTGAACATAACACTCCAAACATTGAGAGTGCGTCCCTGCCCCCGCCTCCATGGTGATAGAATGAGTCTTGTAACTGTGCTCCTCATGTTTTCGCTTTGGTTGCTACAGTTTCTGTAGGGTGAAGGCATTTTTATACTGAGGTCCTACAATGAGTAAAACAACCCTCCTGGGTGAGGAAGGGTCTTTCCTGAGCCACCTAAGGTGACAAAGGATACCAATGTTCAGGGTCATATACTGGAGCTCAACAGATGTCAAGCTACCAGTAACAGTGAAAGTTTAAGACTAGGAATGTCCCATAGACTAGAGTAGGACCTGAATAAAAGAGCCTTGGGTAGCTCTGCAAAGTTCAAAGGGATAAAAGCATTTGAGATTCTCTAGGGAGAGAAGGGTAGGCCATTACACAGCAGAGACAGTCGAGAAAGTCTTTCTTACACACAGAATAGTGCACACATTAAAGACACTTACCACCTGCTTCAAGGCCCTCTTCTTGTTCTTCTTCTTCATCGCCCTCGTTTTTGTAATAAGACTCCCAACCTGACATATTGTTTACTGCTCACCAAGTGAAAGAAAGTTATGATCAGGAAGAAGCAAATTTAAACCTAAAAAATATCGACTCTTAGGCTCCTTTGAGATCTGCCCTAAAGTCTCGAGGTTACTGATGAGGAATGGGGATGCTGGATCCTGCTGCCTCCAGAGCTCTCAGTAATTGAGATGCATTAGTATATGGTCATGGGCATCATTCCAGCAGCAGCCTCACCTCGTCTATCCCTTAAGGGCCGCTTCAGGACTGGTGGTGGCCCTCTGACTCGGGTGCTGGGGCAGCCCAACCTGGAGGTCCCGTCTGGCCTCCGGCACCATCTGAACCTACGGGATTCCTGCTCCAGAGTACTCGATCCTCTAGCGGACCTCATCCCGCCCCCAAATCTCCCCCAACTCCTCGCCAGCCACGCCCAGCGAGGGGTCTCACTGCAGGCGGGCCTCAAGGCCAGGTGCCACCTCCCACGGAGGGCACGGGGACCAGAAACTCTGTACCCCGCGGGTCTGCACACTTCGTGCTGACTCTGCCCCGCGGGGAGGCTAGAGGGACGCGCAAGACTAAGTGAACGAAGCAGGTCGAGGCCAGCCCCGGCCGGAAAGCAAGGGACACAGCGAACAGCCCCAACCTCCCTACCTTAGGCGCAAGGAAGAGATCAATTTGGACAGAAGGCGGGGCGCCGCGCACGCACGGGCTCCAATTCTCGCTCCCAATCAACGTCCCTTACGTCATCACGCATAGTGCGCACATTCCTCCTCAAGTTGACACGCCCACTTCCACCCCCGCTTTCCGCAACTGTCCCGAACTAAGCCAACCCCGTCCGCGAAAGCCCCGCCCCCTACCGCGAAACCCCGCCCCTCGCCGCCCGCCGGGACGGTAGGCACATGCGCAAGAGTGCGTCCTCGCCCCCGCCTCCCCTTCCGCGCGGACCCTGCCCGTCCCGGCTCTGTCACCTCACAGTAGTCGTTGCCGGTGGCGGGTGCGGGGCCGCGTGCAGCGCAGGGCCGCCTTTCCCCCGCCCCTCAGGCCGGGCCTGGGCTCGGTCCCCCCGCTCCCTCCGTTCCCCACCCCCGTCGGGTACGGGAAGGTCCAAGCCGCTGCCGGGTGCCTGAGGGACTTCGTGGCCGCCGCCGCCACGGGTCCCGATGGAGCCGCCGAATCTCTATCCGGTGAAGCTCTACGTGTACGACCTGTCCAAGGGCCTGGCCCGGCGGCTCAGCCCCATCATGCTGGGTGAGGGGGCTGGGGGCGGGCGAGAGGGTGCCGGGCCGGCCGGCAGAGGTAGGGAGGCCTGGACCACCGCTCAGGGGGAGACGCGGGGCCCAGAGGATGGAGGAAAGCGCGAGCGTAGAAGAGAAAGGTCTGAGGTTCGGGCGCCTGGAGCCCCACTTTCCCGACTTCACGTTTGAATCCAGGAGGAAGGGATGGAGGAGTCACGCCCTCCCCCTGCCCCCTCCGAGCCGTAGGGTGAGCGGGCGCTGCAGCCCGGCGGCTCCCCTGCCTCACTTGGGGAGCCCTTTACACCTCTTCCTCGGCGCAGTGTAGGGGAGGTGAGGATGCCTGCCGCGCGATGCCCCTCGTGGTGAAAGGGACTCTGCAGAGATCCCCAGGTGGCCCTTAGCCTTCCCTCCGTGCCAAAAGGAAATGCAGTCTCTGGGGTAGATGGGAATAGGAAGCTAGAGCCGCACGGGTTCCCAGCCATTGCTCCCAGGTAGAGGTAAAGTCAGGTCTACTGGAGCCCGAACGCGAGAATTCAAGTTCTGCCCTGACAATGCGGTCTTGTCAACAGTTTCTAAGTTAATTGCTTTTGCCCAGATGGTTAGAAAGCAATTCTGGGAGAGGGTTGGATACTGTTGTGTCAGTAAGGATTAGTAAAGGAAGTATTTCCGTTGTGCTCCATTAAACTACTTAACCTACCAGGAGAGAAAATCAGCCCTAGTTCGCTGTACATCAAACCTCATTATAACCCAAATACCAAAATGTCTCATGTAACATAGAAATTGTCGAGTTTGTGGTTTCAGTTGATATTGGGCAGGAAAGGATTCCAGGAATTGAAAAATTGAACAGCTTTGGCAACATCCATTTGAATGGCTAGTTTTTCCTGGCTTTTATGGATGCATTAGAGAGTGTTTTAGTTCATCTTGGTAAGACAAGAGGGCTGAAGTCAAGTAAGCAAGGCTACTTTGGAAGGCATCTTTTCAATGTCCTTGAGTTTCTGATATATCATAATGAGTTGCACTTTAACCCTGGGCCAGTGAATGGTTACTCATATTTGGCTTCACATCAGAATCACCTGGGATGCTTGTTAAAAATACAGATAACTTCACTTTGAACAAGTCTTTTTCAATGGAAATAGAGAAAACAAAGTTGGAACAGTTCTTTAAATATTCAGGTGTGTTTAAAGCAAAGGATTTATACATGCTCGTGTAGGCAAATAATTATCTGGAAGAATACATAAGGAATTGAAACAGTGGTAACTTATGGAAAGGGGAACTTGATGCCAGAGGATAGGAATAGAAGGGAGACTTCGCTATAAACTTTCTGTACCTTTTGAATTGTGTACTACACACATATAGTATCTATTCAAAATAAACCAAGTTTTAAATATATGGATTCTAGAGCCTCATTACACAGGTACTAAATAAGAATCTTCTGGAGTTTTGACCCAAAAATCTGTATTTTTAATAAGCTCTTCAGGTAATTGTTATGTAGCCAGTCCATTGTTGGCTAGAAGTTTGGGCCTAGATCACCAGTTGTTAAAATGAGTAAGGTAAAGCTGAAAGCAAAACTTACAAAGTCACAGGGGAACGTGCTAATCACTAACAGATTACATCAGTCAAGTTCTAACTAAACTTCTTGGAATGGAGCCATCATCTGGTTAGTTTGATCATAGCTATAAGTGTCCTTAAGGATCACTGCTTCATGATTCATTCAACAGATTGTTTTTTGAGTGCCTCCTATGTGTTAGTCCATGTGTTAAGCTTAACTGAGGACAGTATATTGAACAAAGATGTTCATTGCCATCATGGAGCTGCTAACTGGGGAAAATATTAAATATAAGCAAAGAAAATAATTATTTCAAATACTAATTGTGATAAGTGTTAGGCTGTGCAAGAAGCAAACAGGGTGTTGAGATCAAAAGTGACAAGAGAAGCCTAACTATTTATTTATTTATTTTTTAAATCATGGCCACATTTTTCTTTTTTTTAAAGAGTTTATTTATTTATTTGACACAGAGAGAGACAGCGAGAGAGGGAACACAAGCAGGGGGCAGTGGGGGAGGGAGAAGCAGGCTTTCCACGGAGCAGGGAGCCTGATGCGGGGCTCGATCCCAGGACCCTGGGATCATAATCTGAGCCGAAGGAGCCACCCAGGCGCCCTTTGTTGATTGTTTTCTAATCTAAAGTTTTGTGTGCATGCACGTATCCCAAGGTTACATTTATTTTTTATTTTTTTCACAAGCCTATCTCAAAATTGTTCTTGGGTTTAAAGACATAAGGATATAGAACATAGATATTTATTTCTGGGAAGAATGCAGTCTAATGAATATTTGAGATTTTACTTTATACTCAGTTCCTTGCTTAATTCCGTAATACAAATAGTAATGAAATAAAAAACATGAACTCAGTCGGTTAAGCATCTGCCTTTAGCTCAGGTCATAATCCTGGGGTCCTGGGATGGAGCCCTGTCGTAGGGCTCCCTGCTCAACGGGGAGTCTGCTTCTCCCTCCCTCTGACCTTCCCCCCTGCTCGTGCTCTCACTTGTCCATGTGCACTCTCTCCCTCTCTCTCTCTCTCTCAAATGAATAAATAAAAAATCTTAAAAAAAAAACAAAACCATGAACTCTGTCCTCCAGGGGTTTATTTCACTAAAAATAACATACATGCACGTGCAACATTAGAGAACAGCATAAAAGAGATTATAACTAGATGCCAGAATGAGCAAGTGGTGAAGCAATTATTTTAGGTCTTGAAAGAAGGGAAAAGCCATGGTGGGCTGCATGTGTCAGAAAGACTTCAGTGAGAACCTTGAACTGCTGGAAGGCAGAGACTGTCTCATTTCTCTGTATGTCCCCAGTGGCCAGTGAGAGCTGGTGCTCAATAATTTTTTTTTAAAGTAAGTTCTACGCCCAATGTGGCGCTTGAACTCACAACCCCGAGATTAAGAGTCGCATGCTGTACTGACTGAGCCAGCCAGGTGCCCCACAATAAGTATCGATTATAGGAACAATTGAGACTTGAACTCAAGCTTGAAGATTACATAGAATTTATTTGAATCTGAAGGGGTTTTAAAGTTTTAATGCCCATCTATTAGATTTTTAATGCCATCTATTAGATTTTAATGCCATCTATTTAGATTTTTATTGCTCATTGTGTGAACTACTTTTTATCCATCTAATGAATTAATTTAGTAATCATGCAATTTCATTATGGCAAAATGAAAACTAATGCAGCTTACAAGGCCCTTTGTGATCCTTCTGCTTTTCTCTCCACCCTCACCTGTCTACACATGCTCAACACAATCAGCAGGAGCCTTTCTCCACTGGATTCCACAAGAGTTAAGCTCTAGGGGAAATGATCTGAATGACTATTTTCTCAGTTCTGCCAATAGATACCTTAGGGCATGAGGGCTTAATGCTCTGGCAGAACCCCGGTGGAAAAGGGCTAAATACACTAATAGGACTGAACCTGTTCAGCTTTTTCACCTCTTGGCTTTTCAAAGGCTATGCCATCTGCCCGGAATACTTTCGGTTGGCCTGGCTAACTTCTGCTCATCCTCAGGGTCTCAACTAACATGTCTCTTCCTCCAGGCAGCCTTCCCTGACCCCCACCCCACAAATCTTGTTCATGTGTCCCTAGTGTATGCTCATAACATCCTGTACATAGCATTCATCATTCTATTTTATAATTGCTTGTTTTCTTTATTAGAGAGCGAGCACCCACAAGCAGGGCAGGATGGCAGAGGAAGAGAAGGAGAAAGAGAATCTTAGGCAGGCTCCATGCTCCGCGCAAAGCCCAATGTGGAGTTCAGTCTCATGACCCTGAGATCATGAAGTGAGCTGAAATCGAGTCAGACACTGAGGCACCTGGGTGACTCAGTTGGTTAAGCATCTGCCTTCTGCTCAGGTCATGATCCCAGGGTCCTGGGATCAAGCCCCATTGGGCTCCCTGCTCAGCAGGGAGCCTGCTTGTCCCTCTCCCTCTGC